TTTCCTGTCCTTATTTTAAGTTAATTTGCATAATTTCTATATTAAATAAAAAGCGATCAAAGATTTGTATATATGTATATATATATAGAGAGAGAGAGAGAGATATGTAAAATAAAAGTGAGGTATGAAGTGGTGGTGGTGTATTTAATTATGGCAAAGCACACTAGGGCTATCTGCTTAAGAGGAGGGATGCCTTCGTGGAGGACTTTCTAAGGGGAACTGGCTCGTATACACGTTACGCATGGGGAAAACCACGAAAAAGCCCATGCAGCCAGCCCGTTCGCGGGATTCGAACCTCGGACCGAACTACCAGTGTTCAGCGACTTTACCGCTCGGCCGCTGGCGGTCCAGTGAGGTGTGAAATCGCGCAGTTTATTATGATCGAAAAGAATTCGGTATGATAATTTGTTTGAGGTAAATAAACTCTCAAAACAGTCGAAATTTCGTTGTCATTAATGGTATTAAAATTAACTTGCTGTAAATAAAATAATTGTCAATAACAGTATTAAAATATGATGGAAATCGAGAGGGCTTGGGTTACATTCTCGAGATTTCTTCTACTACAACGAGCAACAAAAGCATCCGAATAACATAAAAGAAAATATTAATAATATTATGGTGTAATTTCTAGAAATTTACCAATATTCCAAATAAATACAGTCTCTTATATATTTTAATCTAATTAGCACAAAAACCAGTAATTATTATCTTAATGGGGTGCAAATGAGCTCGAAAGGATGTGCTGGCAAAATTGGAAACTCTTTATGGATTTGTGGATTTGTCCAAAATGCTTCTGTCTGTGTTGCTTTTATTTTCATTAAGACGTTAATTGCTCTTCGTAATTTCTGTTGTATATAGAGAACAATTTTTATGTTATAGTGATAAAGATAGATAACTAAAACCAATTCCCTAGATTTACCACAAAAAGGTGCAAAGTATGATAAGAGGCAAACAATGTGTGATTTTACAATGTTACCTCGTAAATATATTGCTGAAGATGTCGAACTGTTGTTGAAAATGTGTAGTAATTTAACTTTTTCTGCGTTTCAGAAAGAAAGCTGTAGTTTTATTATTTAAATAAAATTAATTAAATATTTGGAAAATATTTATTTATTTAATATTTTTTCCTAATAAAGCATATAGTTTGTTGAAAATGTTCTGCTTTCTTTTATGCGATTCACATTTGACAATGGCAATACACTGAATGAAGTTAGTATTACTATTAGTGTTGATACATGGACTTTATTTCAGGTTAATGTATATAAATTTGTGAAATTTTATTTTCCGAGCGGAAAAAGTTAAGGAGTGGGATTGTAGTGAATTTTTAAACGGCAGATATTAGGCATTTCTTCGACGTAGAAATGAAAGGCTGTATTTTCGAATTTGATTAAAATTTTTTATGATGTAATGGTATCAACAGTAAAGTTGTTCTGTTTTATACTATATTCGTTATGGAATTAGACGATACAAGCGTTTCGTATAATAGTTATAGTGTTAAAAAATTAATTGCTATTCAATCAGATTACTGTTTGTTACTAGCTAGGATAGTTAATGCTGTGTCATTATCAAGCGCAATGAATTAATTAAATTTGTATTTAAATTCAATTTATTCTTTTGAAAGAATATATATAATTATATATATATAATTATACGTTAAGGAAAACCAGTACTTCAGAACTCTTCAAGATTCACCAGAATTGTCACCTGACTTGCATTTTGAAATACCATTATACTAAACAACATGCATGTCTTCTCTAGATTTGTGTGTATGATTCTGCCTAAAATCGAACGATATACAAAATAACTGTAATACCTGTCTGTCAATAGAAAATTTATAAAATCAACGCCAAAATTTAAGAAAGGGAGGAATTATTGTAGATGATGTAGTCAAGGTATTTTAAATGACTTGAAAATGGGTAAAGATATTTTTGTATCAAAAGTGCAATAGTGTATTTTCAATATAAATATAGTAGTTTTCATTTAATGTTGTTTAGAATAATATTCTTGATATTCTTTTCTGCAAAATTATTTTTGCACTTACTTTTCTTAAATTTTTAAATGAAATTAATTTTATATTTACCTATTACCCACCAAATTTAATCGCAACTATTGTTGAATTTGTTAGTATAATTATTTAGTCTTATTTCCTTTACCTTGCTATGTGATTAGAGGGAAAATATAACTACGGTAAAACCTTGCTTAACCGAAATTTGCTTTGGAAAAATGGGATGAAGACTAACTTTGAATCTGTGAAACAGTGTAAGCAAGTGATCTTAATGTCATTAAGTGTATCGTAATGATCTAATTTATAACATGAGTGCAGAATTAGTGTGATGTGACATAAATTTGTACTCAGGATGTATTTCAAGTGTTTGCGTTCATTAATGAATTATAAATAATTACTTATAAATCATAATAAATACCTGTTTAAAATTAAATAATAATAATAATCATTATAAATTACTCTTGCTGAAGTGTTGCCTAGAAATTGTTAAACAACCGAAACCGGAAATCAAAGATATTAGTAAATTGTAGTAAAAATTTTGTGAGAACAACCCAAATTAATTTTTGCTATTCTTTGAAGGAATTTTGTGAGTGGATAATCACCGATGATAGTATTTTCAAGATAATAAATATAACCCACATGATTTGAATATTTTGCTTTCGTTATTTCTTTTGATGAGACGCAGTTTTTCTTAAATCTCCTTTAAGCATATGCATAATTTTGTGAAAATTCATAATTCTTAAGAAAAAGCTAGGCTGGGCTTATTAAAAATAAATAAAGGAATAGAGCACTTATTAAAAGTAAATTATAAATTTGCAGCATAAGCAAAATATTCATTTAAAAATGTTTTTGAGCACCATTGAGACCATTATAACGTTTATAACCTTTATAAGCATAATACATGCAGATTTTAGGTAATCAGTTCCGTCGAAAAATTCAATTTATTTATGTGATTTCTCCCCCATCGAATTATTTTCCTACTCTCTTCTAGTGGTCGCTTGCAAATAATGTTTTGGTAATTTATATCAGGTGGTTTGGTATAACCTGGAGTAAATTTCTTTGTCTGTAGCTGAGCAATCTTGAATTTTTGCCATACATTGCATCGTTGAGGAAATGCCAAGAAAGACTTCATAATTAGTTAAGAATTGGCTGCTTTAAATGTATAAAAATAAGAAGTGAGTGAATCTCCTTTTTTCCTGCTCTTGTGGTTATAATTTGGAAAATACTGGTGTTTTATGACCAATACCTGTGGTTTAGAGAAAGATGAATCACTGTCTGTACTCTTATTTAGAAATAGTTTAGGCTTAGGTCACTTCCATAACTTCTTACCTTTCATATTCGTACGCAGTCAGTAATGACACGATTTGAATTCGTGGTTTTATGTGTTAAGAAATTATACCTACTGAAGTTTGAACATGTCTCTTATACGTTAGATTTCAAAATATGCGTTTTAATACATGAATTACCTCCAGCTTGAGCAGTTTTAAGTAATAAAGTTAATATTTTTTGGCCATAATTTCAAACAGAATATCTGAATGCATTTCCAGAGACAGCAAATGAATAATTTAATCTGTAGAAGAAAGGCGTTTGAATTTTTCTTGAAATGTTTTAAATATTTTTATTTGAAATCAACACATAGTAAAGGTAGAATTTTGATGCCTATTAATGTGCGTTATTATATTTATCATTGTTGACTTTTCGTATGTTTAAATATGAATCTCGTATTATTGATGCAGATAGCATTTTATGTAGCATTCTAAAGTAGCATTTTATGTATCATGCATACTAATTGTATGATATTATACAAAATTGGTACTTACAGAATGTTGAGAAAATTGCCGAGCTTTCTGAACGTCAGGAAGTCTGGTACAAGATTCGCTTTAAAGAGTAATTAATCTAATTTGTAAAACGTAGTTGAAACTTCCCCCTTTACAATTTAATTGTGTTGATAATACTAAAATGTATGTGCAACATAGGGATTAATAAATAATAGCTGTTAATAGTTAGAGTAGGTAATAATGTCAAAAAATAATATAACATTTCTTTTTAACCACAAATCTTGTTTTCATAATTAAAATGTAATTTTTCCTTCTTTCTTTCTTTAATTTTTTGTAGACGGAAGTCATAAAATTAAAGGTAATTGAAATACATAAAATGAATTTTTGCCAGATTCTTCTAAGTTTATGTTGTGTCATCTCATTATACATTACTGTAATTTCATTGAAGACTTCCTGTTCCAAAATGTAGCGGCACCTTGATCTCCTAACATTGCAATTTGTACTGCTTAAAATCTCTTGTATAATTTGCATGATATTCATATCACACATTGTCTCTAGCTTTCACACAAATTTCGATATCCGTATTTTGATGTTTAAAACCTTGCTTCGGGAAAAGTGGTTTTACTAAATATATATGTAATAGATTGTTAAAAATGTAACTCTCTTCGATGCGTAGTAATTAACATGGAAAAAAAAAAAAAAGAACATATATTGCCGAGTTTTTGAAAAAAATGTTGCTCTTAATAACAGTTTAAGCAATGATATCCAAACTTTCTTAATTTTTCCTTTATATCATTAATTCATTGTTGCCTTCTAATATTTCTATTTGATTTCTGGGATTATTCAAATAATATGTTAATACAAGTATTTCACCGTAACTTTAGTACTACTGTAATCACGATGATTATGGCTCTAGTGTTATTTTTATAAGAACGATGTAGTGTCTTCCGTAATGATCCCAATTTTAGTCTTTTTAAGTGTTAATTCATCATCATTATTACCGTCGTTTAATATCCACTACTGATTTCTAGTCCCACCGTTTGATTTTTGTAAATATTCAGATAATGTACGAATATCTTATCGTTCATTTATATTGGTAGTTGTAATTACTATAATCACAGTGCTTATGGCTTGTTTTGAAATATGCAAACAATTTCAATTATTAAAAATTTTCATGCCTTAAAATATTAATAATTATAAATTCCGTTTATTTTCAGGAAAAGACGAAGCTTTCGGCCAAATATTTCTTCCGAAATAACGAACAAAGGGCACAAGCTCATCTTTATTGAAAACATCAGTTGCATAGAATGTAGGACCAGAAGACACTCCATGAAACTTCCCAAAGAAAACAAAAGGGAGGAGGAAAAAAAATAACTATTCGGTATAAGTTGTGACATTTGGATAATATCCAGTACACTATTACCCCCTTACAAGTACCAAAGTGGAATTCTACGGAACTTCTTGGAAACGCTTGTTTTCTTCTTTAATTTGTTTTTGGAATTCATGGAATATCTTATTCTTTCTTCGTGTGGCTGTAATTTTGGAGCTGTAAATTTTATCCTCAAGTGTTGAAGTTCGTAGTTCAGACCGTACTTCAGATGTTTCAGATTGTTTGAATGGTCCAGAATCCAAATGAATACCACTTCCTAATATGCCATGGATTTAGATTTACGGCTAAGTGTATATTTAATGGGATGTTATATAAGAAATTTCATGTTATCATGTTTAACATCTTATTCGAGTTAAACCTATTGTATGTTTAGTTATTCGTGATGTGGCAGCAAACGGGGAAAAAATTTTCTGATTAAATGTAGTACATCCTGGAGATCTAAAATGACATGATGTATGTATGGCAAATGACTTTTAATATTTTAATGAAAAGTTAACGATGAGGCGGTTTACTACGAAAATTTTCTGTGTATATGAAAAATAAAAAAATGATAGGAATGCTAATTATGGAATTTTTATGTAATATCAAAAATAGCAGTAATTTCATGTTTCGGCGGTTTGGATTTGGAGGAATAATTTACAGTTTAAAAAATTAACTAATGTTAATATGTCAAATGGTGTATATATGTACCAAAGAGTGCACTTAGTTGCTGTTTTATATTTTGAAAAATTCAGTTGCTGCCAGCTATGATAGCTTTGAGTAACATGAAAAGTGACTACCTAAAAATTGAAAAAAATATTTTGCTTCTAGTAGCTTAAAATCTCAGCAGAGGAAATTGTAGACGACCTAATATTGCTTATTTGTTTTTGGATCAAATGTTTCCATATTTCTTAATGCAACTATATTAGCATGTCGGTGTCAGAAAACAGTTCGTAAAGTGTAATAATTTCAGAGGCATGTTTTCAGAAGCATTCTGTTTTACATTCAGAAATTTTCTTTTGAAGCTAATTGATTGTTTCTTCCCGAGAGCAAGCTGATGATAATTTATAATTACTTTGCTGACTATCGCTATTGCATTTTCAACTAAGTATAATTAGATAAGATAGATGCATTAGATCTGGATATTAGTATATATTGAAAGAAGAATTTATACGAAATACAAAGCAAAATGATATTGCTTTTAAAACGATAACAAACATTAAATAATAATATTTTTGAAAATATAGTCTTAGTCTTCATCTCGTCTATGCTTGTTTTGTGAATTCTTCGGCTTCAGTTTTTGATTTTACGGTACTCGAACAAAGAAAGGTGCAAATTCGTCAATATTTCATGTTTCTGAAGAATCTGAAGCTTGGTGTTAAATATCAAAGCATTTAATTTTTTTTCAGGTTATGCTTCTGGTAAGCACATAACAGAAATATCTTTCTGTATCATTACCTAAGTCTTTCAACTAAAGATATGAAAGTAAAAGGCTACATCGTACCTCTGACTTCACCTAAAAGAGCACCTAAAGTAGATCTGGATATTTAGGAATGCAGAACTTGGGTAAAAACTCGCACCTGTGAAGAATATTACCAAGTCTATAAACTTTGAGCATTAAAGTGTTGAAATGAGCTGGCACTTCGAAAAGGTAGGTAAAACATATAGTTGTTTATAATCGTTGTATGCGAAATTAATATTTCTGTGTTATTTTTTCTAGCGTCCTTCCAACATGCTAAGTGCTTTTAAAAATTAGGTTAATGCATGTGGCTACCTTATAGGCTAGATTTTGAATACTATATTTGTTCTCATTTTTGTGTAATCACAGTTAAGTATTTGCATAATTAAAAATAATAAAATTCTGTCTTAGTAACCTAGAGCAGGGTGTCTTTCAGTGAGGATATGCATATTAAAATACAGGTGATTTTAAACTCTTTAAAAATCAAATCCTGAGTGCAAAATTAGTAGGTAACATTAATTCAGACAACTGTAATATGCGCATGTCTTCTCCTACCTGATTTTTAATTTCGTCTTTTGTATGAATTCCTTATTTAATGTTTAGAAGTACGCTTTCTGAAATTTAAATGCGAACCCGCCTAATTTTTCATTTGTGCTTTACGGTTACCATATTTTAAGTAAGAAAATCCAGGACATTTTATGGAAAAATAATTTTTATGTTAAAAAGCCTTGTAAATTTTAAAAACCTTGCTTCGCACAGGGATCTGTAGGAAGAGAGGCAAACGAAGCATTTTTTCTTCGGGAATGGAGTAAAAATGTGTTTTTGTATTGGTGCTATGCTGAATTATATAATCTGCTTCCTATTCCCTCCAAGGAATGTGTAGTTGAGTGAAAGTTTACTGATGTAATGATTTTCCTTCAATCTTTTTCCCTTTCCTGGCAAATCCTCCGCAGACTCCCATACTCCTTCCTACATAATACGCAAAAATTAGTATAAAGAAGTGAAAAGAAATAAAAATACAAGGAGCTCAGTAGAATGTTGAAAGTTAGATAATGAAAGTCTTAAGATAGATGTAAATTAGATAATGAAGGTCCTTAAGTTAGATGTCTTCCTCAGGTCTGTTAAGAGAATGTAGATGATGCATAGACGTATTAACGAAATTACGCACCAAGAGCCCGAAAGTTACATAATTTTTATCGAAAGATATCTGCATTCTACTAAAAGTATTACCAAGACTTCGTGTATTTGTAAGCTCTTATTGCTAAGGTTAATTTTACAGTGGACTAGCCCCTTTGCTCATTCTTCTGTAAATTAATTACTTATCCTTTAAAATTTTATAACTATTCATTTCAAACTCCCAGACATTGATCAATCGTCTTCACATTATCGGATGTGATTACAAATCCCAGATGGCTGACAATCCTATGCGTCCTTCATTTCTGTTAATTATGATATGTATTGCTTTAGCTAATAATTATGTAAAATCAAGCAATGAGACTTATTACTGGAGGTGTTAAATCTACCCCTAATGAAGCTATGCTACTGCTAACAAAAAATGTGCCCGTAAGAACTTTTATTGAAGAGAGAGCTGTTATGTTATGTGAAAAGTTGCTTCGCGTTGGAGATCCTTTCTGGATTAATTATGGGGACACAAACAGAAATCTCAAGACCCAGCGTGGCTTCCTACAAAACGTTCGTAAAATTAGGGAGGAATGGGGTGCAGCGAATTCACACAAGTCAGGAGGTAGCGTATTTAATTTATTTAGGCTTGTAACTCTAGGCTATGATGTGCAAATAATTTATAAAATATTGTTCTAAACGGAAAAATAAAAAAAAGTAACACACTAAAACAGATAATACACGAAATCTATTAAAGTTCTATTTAGAGTTTATATTTTGCTTAAAAGTTCTCATGGAATTTCTCCTCTTACGATGCAGGGCGAAAATTCTGATGTGCGGCCAACTGTCTTGTTTGTTACCTCTTCTGGTCGGTGGTAGCCGTTTCGAGCAGGTTGCTCTCAGGATAGGTAGCGACAAATCCGGCTAGCAGCCCCTGAATCTCTTCGCAGAGAGAGATGAATGCTCTTGACAGAGCTGAAAAACACGAGAGAATATTTATCTCTCTCCACTACAACTAACTCTCATTAACTAATTGGAACTGCGTTCCCAGTTTTTGTTCAAGTTGTCCTGGTCTTGACGGGATGATTTCTTTGAGTTCTCATTTGTCCGAAATTTTTCAGAGCACCTTGATTGAAAGTGGATATAATGGTGACAGGCCTGGAAAATCTCCGTGAGAATTTTCCAATTCCGACTTGGGACTCAAACCGAATGGTCTGTGACAACGCATAATAAAACACTTATAAAGGGATGTAAAGGAATGAAACATCGTGTCTCAGTCGGACAACTGTGAATTAAACAAAGAATACAAAGAATAAGAATGAACAAAGAAATGAGAATGATACGTGACTGCACGCCACGTTCAGCTTTCCCGAGAACTTCTAAGTGCTGGTTCATCATAAGATAGCTAAAGACGTTACAGTGGTCTAATCGATCGAATACAAGAAATTATGTCTCCAACAAACCCCCTTTCTATGTTCAAAATCAAGATACAACTTGACTGATTCAGTCATCAAGAACTGAAACATATACAGAGGTCTTGAAATGCCTTGCCCTGGAAACCATTAATACTAAATACCCGATTCATAACTGGATGAATGTTTATACAGATGGGTCATATAGTGATGATCTGATGTCTGCGGTTTCGGGAGATTATTCTAGCCGTCTTTCCTTCTATACCTCTGCTGGAAGAAAAACGAAATGCATTTGATCATTTGATGGTGGATGCTCTTAGACAATAACTGTTTCGTGGCCATGATTGGCTGGGCTATCATGACCGTGAAGCATTTTATCGACATTACAAATTCCAGAATGCTGTCTTGCTGTCAGATTCAAGAGTAGCAATTCAAGCCATTGGCTCTTTAGAAACCCCTATATCAACAGATGTTTTTCAGTGCCGAGAATTAATCCGAAGCCTATTACAGAAAAATAAGAAAATTAGAATATAGTAGGTTCCTGGACACAGCGACATCCACGGAAATGAACAGGCAGATTTTCTCGCACGATAAGGTGCATCAAAGTAGCAATAAACAAACTCAAATATGTCATATCACTCAATAAAGCTAAACATAAATCAGTCCATGAGACAAGGCCATCAGTTAAAATTGGTGGATAGCATTAAGACGAAAAAAAAGGAAGGCTGAAAATCTCGCTTGCCTGCCAGAATATGCATGACGTGGCCCTTTTTTCGACTACTTATAGGCCATGATTGCCTGGGCAAACATCGTTATCGATTTGGTATATTTGCTTAACCATTTTGCCCACTCTATGATATCTTATGGAACCCATGAACAGAACTCACCCTCGTAGCTGTGGTGCACTTCTTGGTTCGGGACCACCTGATATTGGCGTGCTAGAGACTGTCTTAGGCAGTGATTTTCGGCCACTTCCCTGTTATGTTCTGTCTTTGAGCTTCGTGTTGTATTTTCCCTTGCCATTAGTAATAAATAATTTTTTTTTAATCTATGTTTTAAGGACGTGAATTACGTTTCAACGAATTCTAATAAAATGAATTTGAGGGTTTAGGATAATTTTTCTTTCCCCTCCTTCTTGTTAATGTAACATACATGGTTAAAATAAGCATCAACAAAACCATTCGTATTTCCTTACGGTTTGGTGAGCTTTTAACATTAAAATGTTGCCATATTCTTAGGAAATTCACTTTGTCTAGTATCATACATTTTCATTGAATGATGGCGACATAATTGAGCAACTTTCAGCGCTTCTGGAAAACTAACAATAAAGAGTTTGTGATTTCTGTTTCCGCCTCACTAAAATATTTCATAACACGCTGTCAGAATGATGGGCATCTAACCATGTTTGACGAGTTTCCTAGTAATAGGTAAATTTCGTAGAAGCTTGATTTCAGAACGGCAGTATTAGTTTCGAATAAAATCATTATTTTCTGTAAAAAAGGTACTTGAGAGGCAATTTATATCTGCGGGTTTCTAGAAAAAGCTGATTGATTGTCAGTTAAGAAGGCAAAAATGTCTGGTGTTAGAAATAAATACCTAGTTTATTTAGATAAGTAGAAGAATAAGATATAATAACATAGATAAATAGAAATGATTTTGAAACAAAGGAAAAAATTTCAATTTATTTAAATTTTTTGGTCTGAAATTTAAAAGTTGGTATCTGCGAGAAATTTCTGTTAGTTACCCTTCGTAATTCAAACGTATTGATAGCGTGTGATTATAAATAAAGTTTCAGACTGACACCTTTTTCAAATAATTCTAATACCTAGAATTACCACTAAATAACATACTTAACTAAAACTGATAAGGAATCCTTTCCAAGCAGTTGCCATTATTTCTTCGGAAGTTACTATTGCGTAGGTAAAATGACCACATATTTTCTTTCTTTTATTTATTAAATTTTCTTCGACGCATGCTGAAAAAATACGCATATTTGTATATAAATAATTTTGAATTTCTGTAGTTCTTACTTGTAGATTTCAGCTACAACACCTAATAACGCTTCAAATTTTATGAAGTATGCAACCTTGGAGAAAAATTACTAGAAGCTTTCTTTATCATAGATTGTACTTGCTCGTCGGTTAGTCCCGTTCTTTTTAAGATTTATTAATTTTCAGCTACGAGAAAAAAGCTATTCACGTATAAAAATGTATTTCCGAACAAAGCGATTATTCTTATCGCAAAAATTCGTAATTGAGGATAATTTAATAAAAATTTAATAAAATTTATATCACAGGGTAAATTAATTAGCTCCGTTTTAGACTTTTGGGGGCGTTAATTGCATTCATTTTTAGTGGTAAAGATAATACTGCAAAATTGACTCAGAATTACTTAAATCTTAAGTCTTTCTTCAAATTCTTGCCCTAAAAATTAATGTCATAATAGTGCTAATTAATTATCATGAAATGTATTCTCGGGTCGAATGAAATTGCTTCGAGGGCCGCCAGTTTGAGACCACTGTTTTAGTTAATAGATGTTATAATGTTCAGAGTCAAAATGCTTTTTGTTGTAATCATGTTTCAAACATTCTCACTATGAAGTTAAAAACAAGTAATGAAAAGCATTCAAAAGAAAAATATTTTGTAATACACTAATATCATT